ACATGGATGTTGAAATCACCCACAATAACTGAGCATTAAACCAGATTAAAAAGAAAGAGTTCTGATAAAGTCTGAGTGAGGCCCAGTTGGATGACGAGTAGCAACAAAAAACAGGTGGTGTGCAGATACTTTCTCCTGGCTGTGTTTGACATCATTATTTAGGCCTGTGCTGATAATATGGTATTACTTTTTATGTGACTGTCGTATCACAGTGTCATTGTTATAGTAATGCTATGCGTTCACATTTTCAGCACACACAATGGAACAAGCACAGGCATGTCTGAGAGGGAGAGCTGTTCAATTTTCAATAGTGTGTAAAATAAACTTGTTTCACCACTTAAGACAAAAAAAACCTTTTCTCCTGCTATATATGCACTATGATGCAGCTCATGTCAGATTTGCACTCCAAATGAGGTAGTGTGATAAATGCTTGCTGATTGTACTCATTATTTATTTACACTTATAAATGGTCCTGCCTGCAAGTTGCCAGTATCAGTACTGATACACGGTGCATTCAGAAAGCATTAACAGCACATCCCTTGTTCCACGTTTTGTCACGGTACAGCCTTTTTCCTAAATTATTATTGAAATGATTATTCCTGGATTCATTTTTCACCTCAAAATTCTATAACGCCCAAAACAACTTGCTTTGAAATTATTTTAAATTCATTAAAGACAAAACTAAAAAGAGTCATAGGAATAACGCAAAGGTTTCTGTAATCTGACTGAAGCTACTTGTATAAAAAATTGGAGGAAAATCATTTCATCAAGATTTCCAATCTTATTCATAATACCAGTAGGGCTGCCACAAACTATTATTCTGATACTCGACTAGTCACCGATTATTTTTGCCAAATAGTCGACTAATCAGATCATCATCCATTGGACGTAAAACGTACAGCTTATTGCACCAGCAGCATCTGCTCTTATATAACTATCATTAGCTTACAGCTTGAAGTGTTTAAGGTCTGTGCTAACTAAAAATAAAGACAAGATGATAGTTTATTAAATTTTAATGAAATTTGCAGATTGTTTCGGGGAAGTTTAATAAACTCCTTGCTATCTAAAATATAACAGGACACCGGAGTAAATTCT